ATCGATCAAAGTATCCAGAATAAATGAGCTTGTCGCGCTGGACATTTTGGGCCCATTTCCCGCCACCCCCAGGGGCAATAGGTATTTGTTGACAGGTGTCGAGTATTTTACGCGCTGGCCTATGGCCTGGCCCCTTGCCAACCAGTCGGCAGCAGCCATCGTGGAGGCCTTTGTTCAGGGATACGTCCTGGACAAAGGTGCTCCGGAGCGGCTGCTGACCGACCAGGGCAGAAATTTTTCCGGTAAATTACTCAAACAAGTCTGTGACCTCTTAGGCACGAAGAAAATTCGTACCTCCCCGTATCACCCGCAAACTGACGGAATGGTCGAGCGCCTGCATCGCACCATTACGTCAATGATGTCACAGCAGGTCTCGGACTCGCAGACTGACTGGGACCTGCATATTCAAGGGGTCTTGGCGGCATACCGGATGGCACCCCATGCAGCTACGGGATTTTCCCCCTTTTACCTCATGTACGGTCGCGAACCCGACCCGCCTGTTCGCGCCCAGCTGCAGATCCCCGACCCGCAAGGGAAAACTAAATTGGCTGACCACGTCAAATTTAATCTGGCCAAATTAACAGAGGCGAGGGATGCTGCTATGCTAAACTCGGACCTCCGTCAAAAGGCGAATGAGCGCCTCAGGCTGGGTCGGGCGCACGTAATACAGTGGAAGCCGGGGGACAAGGCATGGTTGCACTGTCCCCAAGTGCCCCTGGCTACCTCCCCTAAGCTGGCGCGGCCGTGGCGGGGCCCTGTGGAGGTGGTCGAAGTTTTGCGACCACAGTGCGTGCGCATTAAATGGGGGAAGCGGCGATGGTTCGTGCACCCCTCTAGGTTAAAACCCTTCGTTGTGGTACACAAACCCACTTCACACATGCGTGGCCAAACGTGTGGGGGGTCGACCGACTCACTGGGTCCGTCTCCGTCGTTCTCACCTAATGCCTTGCCGGCCGTGCCACCTCCAGGTGCATCAGGACTGACGGGCTCACGCCCGACCACCACTCCTGGGGATACCGACGGTCGCGCGGCATCGGATGAGGTCTCACTCCGGGACGGACAATTGCCACCTGACGGTCCGCCACCCGGGGTTACCCCGTGTGAGGGGCCCGCTGCAAGGACGCGCGCAAAAATGCGCAGACTGTTATGAGGCCGGAAGATGTGTACATAGGTTGTGTTCATCGTGTGTTGTGTGGGTGGTGTGTTCCCTGCCCATTGAAATGTACATACGTTGTGTTCATTGTGTGTTGTGTGGGTGGTGTGTTCCCTGCCCATTGAAATGTACATACGTTGGGTTCACCTGGTGTTGTATGGTGGGTTCCCTGCAAATTGTATATAGGTTGTTTTTTTTACGGAATTCGTATTTATTCAAGGGGGGGTGCGTCGGGTTGTTTTCTCTTCTTGCTGTTGCATTTTGTTGTGTTCTTGTTGCTGTTCTTGTTATTGTTGAAAAATAGTGAGGCACACGCGCGGTCAAGGTGTAAATGCACTTTTATTGTCATTTTTGTATGTTGGCAGCCGGGACGGCTGCAAGCTATGCGGGGGGGGGGGTGATGTAGGGGTGTTAAAGAGAGGGCCCGTTATGCATGGCAGCCTATGGAAAACAAACACAGTGGGCGGGGCTACGTAAGTGCACGAGCAAGTGCCCTCTACGACGTCCGAGCCAGACACCCTGGGGGGGGCTGGTTCGAACGTTATGATCCCCCGGGGCCCCACCCCTCAGGGAGGGGTTGGGTATAAAAGGGGATGTTTCAAAGGGCTCGGCAGTTATGTTTAAGCTAAGGGAAGAAGATTGAAGACGTCTTAGATAGAGCCCTGGACTCCCCTGGTTCGATGTCCTTTTCAGGGCCGGACAGGATTGAGCCAGCGGCGTGGTCCTGAAAGCCAGAGCCGGTGCTCTTGTAAGAGCTGGTCTGGAACTCCGGGTACCGGGCCCGACTTACCAGTGTCGGGCCAGTTAGCCTCCCCTAGCCCATTAGTGGAGGATTCGGGGCTAGGACAGAGTTAGCTAGGGGTGTATCCCGAGTTATACGGGTGAGGGGGCCGATACCCCCTCGAGTGTGTATATGCCCACTGTCATATTGTGAATAAACATACGTGTGCCTCAACCTCGGCGTCAAGCGTCCTCACCGGTACTTCACATGCTTAAGCTGTTAATTTATCCATTGCATGGGTGGACCTTATCCTTATCAATCATCCAGACATTTGCCCCCCCTGAGAGATTTTGCAGGAGCCGCCACTGAAGTCAAACAACAACAACCATAAGACAATTTAGATTCAAGCTATCTGGCCAACTCCACACTTCCGCAAGAAACATGGCTTAACCATATGTTTTCGAAATCACCAAAATAAAGCTATAAAATACAATGTAACAACAGTAATCATAGGAACTTTGATTCGAATTTAACAATAAACGATACACACAACATGTACGACCAAACCAGCAGCCATATCCGGCAGCCAACCGTAGCCAATCGGAGGCTAATCCACATATCTCGCAGGCGACGTTTCGGGCAAGGGCCCCTCTTCAGAGCACGTTGAGCGACGTGGCCACCACTAGGCAGCAGGCTCCTGCCCTCCCTGTCGAGGTATCCGATGCCATCCGACACCAGCCCGGCAATTGTAGCCGTGCCAACTGCTACGAGCGTGGATTATTCTCTATCTCTCTCTCTCTCACTTTCCCAAAAAAGGAATTTCGATCGGGCTACATTACATCCTGACTTGCGTCGAGACCCATGGACAAACAATAATAATGCAATTTGTAACGCGCGCAAATTTGCGGACGGAATTGCCGCAACTCAGAATCGCGGAGCCAAGCTCAGAGTCACTCGAAAGGCAGGTGGTAGAGGTTGTAGAGGTGAGCTTTTAAGTGTCTCTTGAAGGAGACGATGGAAGCGATGCTGCAAATGTGCAGAGGGATGGCGTTCCAGACGCGGAGCCATAGATTAACGCACAAACCTAGAGACTCGCGTGAGAAAAAATAACCACTTACCTACTTAGCGAACCACAGGCTAACACAGGCCATAGACTTCAATCGAAGGCCATCGACTAATACAGGCCATAGATTTAGAGACCCATGGACAAACACACAGACCCATAGACTAACGCAGAAACCTACAGACTCACGTAAATTTTTTATTTTTAAACCTACTTAGCGAACCATAGACTAACAGAGGCCATAGACTTCAATCGAAAGCTATAGACTAGCACAGGACAGATTAAGAGACCCGTGGACTAACACAGAGACCCATAAACTAATAAAAAAAAACTATATTTCTACGTAGCAACCCATATACTAACATAGGGGCCATAGACGACAGAGACGCATAGACTGACTCAAAAGCCATAGACTTATATAGTAACCCATAGAATAACACAGAGGCCCATAAACACAGAGGCCATGAAATTACATAGAGACTCAAAGACCCACATAGAGACTCATGGACTCACACAGAAAGCCATAGACTAATATAGAGACCCATAGACGTACAGACGGACCCAAATATTTACATAGAAACCCGTAGACTCACACAGAGACGGATCGACTCACAAAGAGACCCATAGACTCACACAGGGACCCATAGACTCACAAAGAGACCTAGAGACTTACACGGAGACGCATAGACTCACATGGAGCCCCATAGATTCACACATGGATCCCATAGACTCAAATAGACACCCATAGACTCACAGAGCGACCCATAGACTCACATAGAGATCCATAGACTATTACGGAGATCCATGGACTCATATAGATACCCATAGACTCATATAGAGACTCACACAGATACCCATAGACTCACATAAAACCCATATACTTACTCATCAACAAATCGGCGTATGTACACAGACACATGTATATATATACACACATACGCAGAGTTAAATACGCACACACACTGACAACTAGCTAGTCGAATAGACACTTACACAGGCATAAATACAATCACATACACAGCTAAACATATATACACAGCCACACATTATGCCTATATAGGAACACACATGAACACACATTGTTATCTATGCAAGCACAGACATACACACATATAGGCATATATACACAATAAAAGACATACACAGTCACATACATGTACATAGCCATATGATGTACATAATTACACAAACAAAAACAAATATCCCCCGTATAACCTTAACAGACTGTTGGGGCAAGTGCTGTTAGCGAGCAGCCCCTATGAAGGCCGGCACGGCACACGAGGGGGTTGGTGGCCAGCACCGCGCCCGACCGCCTTTGTCTCTCCACTGGCGATGTTTAAAAACGACACAATTTACTCATTTGAGGCTGAGTCTACCTAGGGGAAGCCCAGGACGGGTTAAGATAATCGCTATCACTAGTGGTGCCCGTGAGCATACGTACAGCCATAAACTGTACGTAACTACATGCATATATACACAGACATGCACAGACACACACACATTGATGCATTGATATAAAAGACAAAGACACATATAGAGGCATATACACAATGACACAAAGACAAAGATCCCCTGTATAGCCTGAACAGACTGTAGGGGCAAGTGCTGTTAGCGAGCACCTATGAAGGCCGGCACGGCACACGAGGGGGTGGGTGGCCAACACCACGCCCGGCCGCCTTTGCCTCCCCAGTGGCGATGTTTACACATCGCACCAGGTACTCATTTGAGGCTGAGTCGACCTAGGGGAGGCCCAGGACCGGTTCAGATAATCGTCACCGGTGTTGGCCGTGAGCGGGAATCGAACCCGGGTCGCCAGGCTCACACAGCCACACATACACGAATACACAATGACAGACACACAGCCACTCATACATAAGGGCATATACACAAACACACACATACAGGCACACATGCATTGTAGGCATATACACACTCGCATTGACACAGCCACACAGTACAGGCAAAGGCACAATGACACACACGCACACATGGGCACATGAACGGCACACATTGAACACGACTCTCGCGACACGACAGCAGAGGCAATGGAAATAGCCGCTCACCAAATTCATGGCTCCACTTTGTTTATCGAAATCAAGCGTCTCCGATTGCATCGATGTGATTATATCTGTGTATTTAATTAATAATAAATAAACGATGTGATTTCCATAATCCTTCACATTAATTGCTAATGCAATAGGCCGAAATAATCCAGCGTGTATTTTCTTTGAAACGACTGATGATGATGATCGTTGCTCCGATGATGAAGATGATGATGATGACGGTGGTGGAGGTTACGTGATCATACGATCAGCTGCTGCGGGATTTCCTCTCGATTGTGCCTTGCACACAGGCACCACCACCACCATCATCATCATCCTCACAGAATTCCCCCCCCCCCCTCTCTCTCTCAGAGCTCACAATGGTACAGCCTGACGGCTTTAATGCACGCGCGCGCAGATGTCCACGTACACCCCAATCAAAGGCAAAGGTCCCCCGTATAGCCTTCAACGGACTGTTTGGGGCAAGTGCTGCTTGCGAGCAACTACGAAGGCCGGTACGGTGCACGAGGTGGTAGTGTGGCGAGGGCAAGGCGCGGCCGTGTTTGTCTCCCCAGTGGCGATGTTTTGCACGTGAACGCACACGCGCTTGTGTGAGCGAATAGACAGACACACATACGCACAGATATGTGCAGACACATGTCCTATCGTGTATACACACAGAACACGCGTACCACACATGTACGCATAACATGTATGTGATCTTGAGTATCTTTGCACAAAGACAAAGATACTCTGTATAGCCTTTAACAGACTGTTGAGGCAAGTGCTGTTTGCGAGCACATATTAAGGCCGGAACGACACACGAGTGTGTAGCCAGCGCCACGCCCGGCCGCCTTTGTCTCCCTAGTGGCGATGTTCACACACCACACCAGGTACTCATTTAAGGTTAAGTCGACCTAGGGGAGGCCCAGGACCGGTTCGGATTTTCGTCACTGATGTTGGCCGTGAGCGAGAATCGAACTCCGAGTCGCCGGGTTCGTAGCGCAGCGCGCTAATCACTGCGCCACCGCTCCCACACAGTGCCGGATTATCCTAATAGCACAAGTAGCTACACGTGTAGCAGCTACACGTGTAGCAGCTACACGTGTAGCAGCTACACGTGTAGCAGCTACACGTGTAGCAGCTACACGTGTAGCAGCTACATGTGTTTACGAGTCTTTACCGAAAGACCCAAAGAATAAGAACGTGGACAATTCGTTACCAGTGTAGTGGCATAGTGTATGCATAGCGCTGGCTGCTGGCAGGAAAGGGGATCTGCGGCTTACGGCAGCCCTGACGTCAGCAGGCCACGTGACACACCAGAGGGGGATCTAGGGGGAAGGTCACAAAAGGGCACACCAAGAACCCGCTGGTAGGTTCCAGAAAGGAGGCGTGGCTTGAGGCGGAGCGAGGCCACGTGACAGTATAAGAGGGGCCCCTGTAGGGGACCTCGGGGCTGTCGTTGGAGTGGGATCCCAGTCGTGCTGCTGAAGTCCATCATCGTCATTCTTCTCGTCGTCTTCACCGTCCTTCTCCTCGTCCTCTTCATATTCACCATCTCGGGCTCCACCAGTCAGGCAGCCTACCAACTGTCCTGTCTGAGTAGCGTCACCGACAATAGACGGACTAATTGTTAAGAGTGTTAAACCCGATGGTGCTTGTCCACAACATTTACAATCTGAGTACGACGGTTCGCCAGAAATTACAAATAGCTTCATCAACCACAGCCAGATTTGTGGCTCAGATTTGTAAATGTTGTGGATTTGCTCTCCAACACACAACCGGTGTGTGCTGTATCAGTTTAACGACTCGACGACAATCTATATAAAGAGCCACTTTTATTTCGATTTAAAGCTTTCGTGACTGCAGGGATTCATCTTCTTGGTTCTTTCGGTAAAGTCACGTAGAATGGAAATAATACAATAATAAAAAAGAAAACATAATAATATAATAAAAATATAACATAAGACTGTCTTCTCGACAGACCTGTTCTTCACCTGAGGACGGCTGCTTGCGTTGTGGCCGAAACGTCGTGAGAATTATTTTATTATGTTTTTCATTTTTATTATTTTATTATTCCCATTCTACGTGACTTTACCGAAAGAACCAAGAAGATGAACCACTTTTATTTCAAGACTTCCACAATATGGGACCCTAGACTTCATGACTATCGTCGAGTTTGTATCTTCCTCCAAACCTCCCCACTCCTCGTGCTCTCCCCTTATATCTCCCTCAGCCTCTCCCTTTCTCGAACGTTCCCTCACCCCTTATTTCCCTCAGCCAATCGCTGTCCTTGCCCTCTAACGGATCTAAACCGTTGCCTCTGGGTTCCACCACCGTTGTTTCCCGCCTTTTTCTCCTTCAAACTTTCCCGCCAATCCACTTCAAAAGCCCCGCCTCCTGACCAATCCCTGTGGAGGCCTCTTTCCTCCAATTGGAGACCTCGGTTTATTTATTTTTTGAATAGCCGTTAGGCTGCACATTGGTTTGGGGTCATTTCCGGCGATTAAACGAGTAACGAATTGGCCACATTCTGTTTACGTGACAAACCTTAATAATTGGCTGTGTCGGGTGGTGGCGGGTTTAACGACACATTTATATTTACGCGATCTGACCCAACCCCCATGCCGTTACATTATCATTGAGCAGAATCTGCCCCATGACTTCCAATCACCCGCGGTCTCGGTGCCAGCGTTACGACGCATTCGGGCATTGAACGTCACCCAGTGAGGTGACGACTCCAATCCTCGAAGGTGGTGGCACTTTCGCCAATGCCAAGGACAGGAGGCCAGTAGCAGGTAACTGGCTCATCGGTCTTGGCCCCTGCATCCATCACTGCACAGAGGTTCATCTTCAGCAGTGGCCATAGGTGACCCCCGCACCAACAACCATCACCGCCGCCATGATTGCCCTCGCCTGCTATTGATTGGGCAAGCGAGCAAACGAGAGGCTGGGACTCACCACCTCTCAGTCATCACCTCTCACTCACCACCCCTCCTCACCACTCCTCCTCACCACCCCTCCTCACCACCCCTCCTCACCACCCCTCACCACCACCCCTCCTCACCACCCCCCCTCACCACCTCTCACCACCACCCCTCCTCACCACCTCTCACCACCTCTCACCACCACCCCTCCTCACCACCCCCCCTCACCACCTCTCACCACCTCTCCTCACCACCTCTCCTCACCACCTCTCACCACCCCCCCTCACCACCTCTCCTCACCACCTCTCCTCACCACCTCTCCTCACCACCTCTCCTCACCACCCCTCCTCACCACCTCTCCTCACCACCTCTCCTCACCACCTCTCCTCACCACCTCTCCTCACCACCCCTCCTCACCACCTCTCCTCACCACCTCTCCTCACCACCCCTCCTCACCACCTCTCCTCACCAACTCTCCTCACCACCTCTCCTCACCACCTCTCACCACCCCCCCTCACCACCTCTCCTCACCACCTCTCCTCACCACCTCTCCTCACCACCTCTCCTCACCACCCCTCCTCACCACCTCTCCTCACCACCTCTCACCACCACCCCTCCTCACCACCTCTCCTCACCACCTCTCCTCACCACTTCTCACCACCTCTCCTCACCACCACCTCTCCTCACCACCTCTCCTCACTACCTCTCCTCACCACCCCTCACCACCTCTCCTCACCACCTCTCCTCACCACCTCTCCTCACCACCTCTCCTCACCACCTCTCACCACCACCTCTCCTCACCACCTCTCCTCACCACCTCTCCTCACCACCTCTCCTCACCACCCCTCCTCACCACCTCTCCTCACCACCTCTCCTCACCACTTCTCCTCACCACCCCTCCTCACCACCTCTCCTCACCACCTCTCCTCACCACCTCTCCTCACCACCTCTCCTCACCACCTCTCACCACCACCTCTCCTCACCACCTCTCCTCACCACCCCTCCTCACCAGCCCTCCTCACCACCTCTCCTCACCACCTCTCCTCACCACCTCTCCTCACCACCTCTCACCACCACCTCTCCTCACCACCTCTCCTCACCACCCCTCCTCACCAGCCCTCCTCACCACCTCTCCTCACCACCTCTCCTCACCACCCCTCACCACCTCTCACCACCACCTCTCCTCACCACCTCTCCTCACCACCTCTCCTCACCACCTCTCCTCACCACCCCTCCTCACCAGCCCTCCTCACCACCTCTTCTCACCACCTCTCCTCACCACCCCTCACCACCTCTCACCACCACCTCTCACCACCTCTCACCACCACCTCTCCTCACCACCTCTCCTCACCACCTCTCCTCACCACCTCTCCTCACCACCTCTCACCACCTCTCCTCACCACCTCTCCTCACCACCTCTCCTCACCACCCCTCCTCACCACCCCTCCTCACCACCCCCCCTCACCACCTCTCCTCACCACCTCTCCTCACCACCTCTCACCACCACCTCTCCTCACCACCTCTCCTCACCTCCTCTCCTCACCACTTCTCCTCACCACCTCTCCTCACCACCTCTCACCACCACCTCTCCTCACCACCTCTCCTCACCACCTCTCCTCACCACCTCTCCTCACCTCCTCTCCTCACCACCTCTCCTCACCACCTCTCCTCACCTCCTCTCCTCACCACTTCTCCTCACCACCTCTCCTCACCACCTCTCCTCACCTCCTCTCCTCACCATCCCTCCTCACCACTTCTCCTCACCACCTCTCCTCACCACCTCTCCTCACCACCTCTCCTCACCACCTCTCCTCACCACCTCTCCTCACCACCTCTCCTCACCACCTCTCCTCACCACCTCTCCTCACCACCTCTCCTTACCACCCCTCCTCACCACTTCTCCTCACCACCTCTCCTCACCACCTCTCCTCACCACCTCTCCTCACCACCTCTCCTCACCACCTCTCCTCACCACCCCTCCTCACCACTTCTCCTCACCACCCCTCACCACCTCTCACCACCTCTCCTCACCACCTCTCACTCACCACCCCTCCTCACCACTTCTCCTCACCACCCCTCACCACCTCTCACCACCACCTCTCCTCACCACCTCTCCTCACCACCTCTCACTCACCACCCCCCCTCACCACCCCTCCTCACCACCTCTCCTCACCACCTCTCACCACCGCACACCCTGCATGTATTGTGAAGGGTCACACTCTCTGCCGTTGGCCAGAGATAAAGGCAAAGCGTGCCCATGTAGCCTCACAGGGATGCTGGGCAATGTGCTGCGAGCAAACACCGATTCACACCGGCATGGTGTGTGGGGGAGGTTGTGCGTCGGAGCACCACACCCAGCCACCTTTGTCTCCCCGAAGCCTTTCTGCTGCTGATGTTGTTGTTG